GGAAGGCTCACCATTTTATGACTTGTTCACAATGCATGGAGATACTTCGCTGTCTGCTACTTTTCGATTTTTGGCACCAAATCATACCATACAAATCCGTGTTCGAAGGACCACAATTTAGCAACTAATTGGCCTTATTTTCTCTTATTGACTTCCATAAATTAAGGACATAACTTTTATGATTTTCTTTTTATTATGCACGTGGACTGTATTAATTACATGTGACAGCATTAAGCTCTCAAAGTCAATTACATCCTTCACACCAGCTTCACAACTTTCAAATTAACCTCTAAACCTCAACTATATCAATAGTTCAAAAGCTCGGGTTCTAACCACAACAAGCGGCTTATCTTTGAACGATGTCGAGGAGAAATGTCATTTTAGGGAATGCTTATCGTTAAGGCTCTCCTAAAATAGTTGGTGGACACGGCCATAACTCGGTGTTTTAATATAAATATTCTCAATCACAACTCTAACCTTGGTTTCCACCAACTATTTTAGTGGAGCCGCAACGATAAGTATTCCCTAAACTGACAGCTTTCCATGGAGAAATATCAGTTTAAGGAATACTTATCGTTAAGGCTTCCCTAAATTAGTTGGTGGAAACGGCCATCAATGCCCATGTTGTATGTCTACATACAGAAAATCATCCAGTAAAAGCATGTAATATTCAAAATTCCTGTCAGAATGAATATAGAAATTGTGTGTCAGTCAATCAGAAACAAAATAGTAATATAGATATAAATCACGACGGATAGGATTATGGTTCTTGCCAGACTTATAAGCAAGTATTAGACAAATTTAAATTTGAGATTTTGGGTCCACAGAGCATCCAGAAAGTGTCTCCTTTTCCAGAATTTTTGATCGTTGCGAGACTCATCACTCATCATTTCACTTTAAGCCTTAAACAAACTTTTGCAATGTTTATGCCTTGGCAAAATTATCAGTTTATTATAAGAACGTTCGCGTTTCAAAAACCAAGCTCAATGAAATTAGAAAAAGAGAAGGCATCTGAAATTCGAGTCGATTACTCGTTTAGGATTTTGTGAAACTACAGGAAATCCAGAGACTTTGCGCCTTTTGGAAAATTTGAACAAACTTCGTTCTCTCCTTTCGTAGAATCACACCCGAACTACTAAAATATCAAATATCTTTATGATACAATTACCAGCTCTTGGGCTTCTTCGCCTAACTGATGATCGGTGAAGCCAGCGTCCATCGCCATAGTCCTTTTCAGTAATTCCTGAAAATTCTGCGCGTAAGAAGTTAATAGAATGTGCTTCTTTGAAAAGCTGATTCCTATTCTTAGATCTTGAGGGAATATGGGTTGCTTTTGTGAAGCTGAAAAAGGTTCTGATGTTGTTAGCTACTAATGCAATAAAAGCATAGGCAATTTGATTGACTTCGTTGTCCGCCATTCGTTTCTCAGTATTCTTGTTCTTCTTTGTACAACCTTTGCTTGAATATAGGTTTCCTTTTTGTGAGCTCAATTTGGGTTGTTATGTCAGATAGTTTAGGCTTTCGTCTTCTGATCGATGACGTTTGCTCAGTGATTTTCAATACTGTCGTTTCTATTTAGACAATTTCTCATCCAGTGGAAGCTGGGAGATTGTTTTGATGTCTTTTTTTTTTCAGGTTGCTCAAAATTTACCGTGCGTTGTGGATGTTTGCCTTCTCTCCATCGTTTTTGCGGTACCTAATCGTACAGACATCAGCATAATTTATATATTTCTGATGGTTACTTTAAATATTGTTGTTTGGCGAGCAAAATAACGCAGTCAATGAGATCTCGAATGTTGCCACGTTGTTTTCAGCTTATTCTTTTAAAAAAAAGAGTATTTGTGGTGAGTATAGAACTCTTCTTTCACAACATAAATCAGTTGTTCAATCGCCCGAAAAATGTAAAAATCCCCTATAGACTTGAAAAAAAACCGTCTGTAGCGGTCACAGGCGTTATCCAATTCACCAAAATTAATCATTATGATTGAAGAATATGATAAACAGCTATTCAGAAGAATAGTTTATTCATTTAATTTTCGAGAATTAATCGGTACATTACGCAAAATTCATACCGTAATCAGAAACGATAGAGGTTTTAAGTGCTCATTATTCATTAGTCCATAATTCTGCTCTTATCTTTAAGTTCTTGAGCTATTCTACAACCATCCAGCAGTGGTTTGTAATGTAAGGGATCTGTATAACAGAAATTATTTCCATCCAATCACGCAACCAAGGAAATATTGAAATAATCTAAAGTATTGCAAATATATGATTAGACACTTAACATTTGCTGAGTTCAGTTTTTGCATCGCAGACGCGACATATTTTTGGTCACGTGATCACAGATTCGTCTGAGCAAATTGCAATTAACAAACGGCCGGACCAAATAAACAAACCTCTAACCTCGCTTTTTACCAGCGCTTTTCTTTTACGACTTTTCACGCGTCACGTTTAGGCCCAGTTCGTTACACGGGAGAGAAGAAAGATATAACGTAGAGAGACGGAGAGAGACAGGAAGCGTCACGTTTTGGCAAATTTCGTTACACAAAAGAGAAGAAAGATATAACGTAGAGAGACGATACTTGACAATAACAGCCGACGAACGATTTACACAAACCAAGGATTATAAGCAAAGAGGATTGTCTATTATTGTCAAGCGCCGATGCCCTTGTGACGTCACTACAGATGCGCGTCTCCCTTTTGTGTAGTCCTTCGTCTTTACCCCGACTCATACGCTAAGTCTAAAATTTGTATGAGGGGTGAATTGTTTTTAAGAAGTTTCACTTTTTCACACGTGTACGATGCTGCACATGATTGTTTTTTGATTGCCCTTTTTCGTTCTTTTGGTGTTTAGAAGTGTTTTTTTTTTTTTTCATTGTTTACGGGTATGTCTATCTCTGTGGCAATTTTGGTAGCTATTCATAGTCATCAAATAATTTTTGATGATGACGACAACGAGAAGAAGAAGCTGGTCCCTCTGCAAAGGTTGAGGGCTACGCAGAACCGTGCCACGTTGTTCTAAGATGCAGTTCAGGAAAAACTTTCGAACGGTTTCAGCAACTTTTGTGGATTTTTTACAAAAGCTTCATGATCTGGGCAGCAAAAAAGTAGAAGATTGAAATGGACATCCGGCAATGAAGTTAAAAACACTACAACTACGTTGGCACTTCGAGACTACGACATAACCTCACAATCGCAGACTAATCTCCTTCATCGGTCTATATTCTTCGAGCAAACAGATTCACGTCCGACTGGTCTGAGCGGAATTAACGAACGGCTCAGATTTGCCTCCCCTACATCTAGATGCAATAAACGAGCGATTCAGATCGAAGAGATTGATAAGACGTTTAAAACGATTGCAGCTTTTATGAAATTAGGTACTTTCCTTCAAATAATCACTACCTACTCACTAGTCACTGCAGTTACTATTGAAATAATACTAGTGTAGTATCGTACTCGTACTCTTCTTCTGATGTATGTACTCTTGTTCAAGGAAGCTTCCTTAAACACTTTCTGGTAGTGGCCTGTGGCTGTTGCAGTTTGGATCTGTTATTAACAACTTAACTTTTTATCTCTAAAAACTATATCGTACCAACATAATTTAATAAATAGTTATTATAATAATTGCCTCTGCTGACTCGTCAACCATCAGGTCGCCAACATGGACATGTTCCTGATTATTTTCTGCTGCGGTTTGTAGCCCTAATTACCCATTATTCTCAACTAACGCCATTTGAAATTTGCTGACTTAATCTGTATTTTATAATTTCTGAATATAAATCTAATAAATCCAGGATTGTAAACATACTTTGTCGAATTTTTATATGAGAAAAACAGTAATCAGTTTATTATTATTGATTGATGCAATTAAAACAATACACACACTAATGCACAAAACAATCAGACATCCCAGTCTCATAGAATTTTTTTATTGATAACTCTTGAATTGTAAAGCGGCCTTTTTATACTTAGAAATTGGATACTGGTCTATAACAACTGAACAAATAGGTAGGTATCTAATAAGAAATGGCGAAATCTCATATTAGCAATTTTGTTAGACAATACTGCTTGATACGCATAAAGAAATTTTATATTTGAAGTCAAATATCCCAGAAAGTATAAGAACATCTTTGATAAGAACTATTTGATTGCGGTTTGAAGCATATTATTAGGGCGCATTATTTTTTCTTAGGGTATATGGGGTTGTTTAACAAATTTCACGGCAACGCCATTTCTTTCCAAACGTACTAGGTCTGTTGGCCCGTAATTGTAAAGTTATATGATTTTTACGTACATCTTTGCAATTTACTTACTTAACGAAAAAATCGTTCTGCGAACCTGGGAAATAAGGCACCTCTTATATTTAATCGTCTATTCGTCTAGACTGATAGACTTACATCTTACTTAAAACTTTTTTTTTTTAACTGTCAGGTTACTTTTGTACATAGTGCCTATTCAATACATTGCATGCAAATTATGCTTATAAACGACTTATGAAACGACAAATCCAAACCTTATACTACTACTACCTATACATACCTACTTGATTTCTTCAAGGGTTGGGGCTGAGGCCTACTCAGGTAAAATAATTCTAAACATTATTCTTTTTTTTTCAATTCAGGGTTTCAGGATCTTATATTGTTCTTATATCCGCCCTTTTTTGTATGTTATATAGTCAGCTCGCCAAGACATGTTTTCGTTCAAATAAAGAAAACATTTTGAGTAGCACATTCAAGAATTTAGGCTTTTGCTAATACCCGATAACGATACCTGAATATGTACGAATAATCCGTTTGGAATTCGGTTAACAATGATTTACGGTCTTTCTGGTCTTATTTTGCGATTCTTTGAGTTCTTTCTGCGTATTTTAACAATTTTGAGGATCAATACTGAAAATTGGTATAGAGTGATTGAAAAGTAAGGTTTAAAATTGGTTCTGATTTTTTCTGCATCGTTATTTGATACTTTTCCGGTGGCTTCAAGTAGGTAACACAATAAAAAACAAATAATATTTTATTCTTGAATCCTTATACAATAGTAATTAAAATCTAGCAGATCTAGAAACTTTGTCGTACACATCAGGAAAGGCAGCTTCACAATCTAATTGTTTCCTCACTTTGTCATACAGAGTATGATCAAACATTTTGCGAAATTCTTCTTTTGTCATATAGGTGTCTGCATATAACATTTGGAAACTAAAAAGAAATTAAAGAAAGATTTAAATTTTTAAAGACTCTGGCCTTCGTATTCTTCTTACATACCTATGTAAATTAGGTGCATGTTGTAATTAACTGACTTGCAGTTGGGTTAGTTGCTAGGGCTATAGAACCCCGCTCTACTTGATTAATTTGCTTGAAAATTACCACCCAGAGCGTATAAAGATACAAGGAACGATCGCTATTTTTTAGGAACTAGCTACATTGTAGGAAGTTATTTTATTAAGCTTTTTCGCAAGATAAGTGTAAAAAAAATTGAATTTTCACTTCAATTTAATAAAATAGTGTTTTTTTAGGGAGCTTATTCCAGGGTGAGGTATTCCACCATGACACAAAAATTGCATTTCTTTAAAATAAGATGGACAGAGTTTGCATCTTGTTTTCAACAAAATATCTGGTTTCATGTGTTAATATTTGTTTTCGGTTTTCAATGTTTCCATGTAATTGTTGATTTTATATGTTACTTTTTGTAAAACTTTACTTATTAAGTCAAATTATGAGAGGGTAGAATTTATTTGTAGGAGCTTCTGGCTTGCACACTAAGTAATTGACAGCATAACTATGATTTGTAATGTCTAGATTTCAAATAAATTTCTTTTTCAACATTTTACAGAACCATGATAACTTGAGAGGATGTAATGTAAAATTAAGAAAAAAAAATACAAAAACCTCAAACATAATAGTTAACAATGTATTATCAGTTATTACTAATAATAAATGTACACTTTGTATCATATCACAGATTACTGATAGCTGATCCCTTTTCTCCGTGTTCTTGTCTTGCCTTGATGCAAATGGAAATGGTCTGGAAACCAGAGGGTTCTTTGTTTCTATTAGTTATTGATTAAAATTCCTACAGGATCAAGGTAGCGCTGAAATTTGTTTCAAGATGAATGTCGCTAGCTATTTTTGTTTTATTTTACGAGAGGCCTATGTAAAATAGGCCTAGATTTTCAGCCACCATGCCTATATAAAGTTAAGTTGTCAATGTTTCAATTGTCCATAAGTTTTTCTGATCAGAGAGTTTTTTGTCGATTGGGATTCTGGGGTGTTTCCTCTCAACGCTTTAGCGATTGGAAAAGTTTGTTGCATTATTAGTTCACTTCTTTCCAGGTTGATATTGAACTTTATTGTGGCCCTTGCCAAACTTCCAGTAACAAATTGATTCATGACCCAAATTTCTTTTAAAATGTACCTCCGATTTGTCGTACTTTAACCAATCTCATTTTTAGCTGATGAGTCTGGACCTAAGTCTTCTTTTTAATGTCCTGTGGAATGTAAACAATAAGTGTTCATTTGTAGGTAATTTAATAGTCTTTTCTCCTCGTTCGTTTGAGTCGCCAAGGCAGAATTTTCGCCTGTAGTAGATATCGTTTACGTTGACTTTGCTTTTCTTCAGCATTAAAATCTCCGCTTATGATCTTGAAGTAGGTATTTTCTTATTTATGTGCTCGTGAAATGTCTTCATTGAAGGGGGCTTTATTTGAAATTGATGCAACTTTGCGTACACGCAAATGATGTCATTCGTGATTGAAAATTGGTGCACGGCTCATTTGACATGCACTTTTTCAATCGCACCTGACGTCATTTGCGTCATATTTGCGTGTACGCAAAGTTGCACCAATTTCAAATAAAGCCCCCCAGTTTGTTTCACTTCTTCGTCAGCTTTACTTTGTGGGCGCGTACATTTACTGCAATTATTGCTGTATCGTCTGAATTTATCCAAAACCACATAGGTACCTATATTACTCTGTCAGACATAGATTTCGTTTTTGTCACTAGATGGTCCAGTCTTTCATAGACCAATACCTTATCGCAACTTCTCCTAGATGCATTCTCCTCTGCGTTGTATAGTGGATTTTTCTTCTGGTAACCTTCTTCGCATAGTCTCAAGACACTCCATTGTATTTTGGATGTTCATCAATACCCTTTTGTACACGTCTATATCACAGTTTACATAATCACAGGTCGTTTTTCAGTAAGTTTTTTTGGCTCTTTTATCATATTTCCATGCCTTCTCTGGCTTTCCTTGAGGTCTTTCCAGAGTCGTTATTTTTCATACGGAAGGTTTCCTCTAGTAATCTTTATATAGGTACCTTCTTCTCTTTCGAATATATTATTTATCACGAAGTTGAGTGATTTTCCTATTCCGTCGATACATTGGTATAACGGGTCTTCAAAAAAAACTAGATCAAAGCGTCCTTTGATTACAATAACGTCGCGTCGGTTTCCAAAAATTATTGCCACAGCCACAGTGACACATTTTTTGGAATTATTGTTTCATCGGAAAATTTTTTGTTTGAGAAAATGACGTTTTTGATAGAAGCAAAAATCAGAATAGCGGAAAGTTAAAAAAATCATAGCTATCTTTGATTTACGTTTTTTTGAAGATCGCTCGAACAATGAGTTTTTTTTCGACATTGACTCCACATACCTTTATGAATGAACGAATAAATGAATTAGGGGTACTGTTACACTGCGACCTGCAGAGATCTCTTGAGCCCCCCTTCTAGGTGCTTCAGTTGATAGGATTCCCACTGAAAGCACCTCATCCAGCTTTAAAGCTTTTATGAACGCAAATATTTATTTATTTATTTATTCGTCAATTCAGAATACAGATTGCCTTAAACAATATTTGTTTCGTCATCACTATAAAAATAAAATACTACAATTTAAAAGACTCGAAGCAGATATCAATACAAACATAAACTTTAAAATCTAATATCAAAATATTTCTTTATAGAATAGAAAGACTAATTTAATAATAATTTTTTAATTTCTTGTTTGAAAACATTCATGCGTTTTTAAGTTTTAATATCTTATGGAAGATGATTGTCAATTTTTACAACATACGTACATAACATAACATAACATAACCACAGATCACCTACATACAGATGCGAAAGTGCGGCGAATTCGTGGTTCAAGGTTGATTTGGAGAACATACGCTGGCCGCACCAATGCCGCATCAATATACTTTGAACATATTTATTATATAAAATGCGGAAGCTCAATAATATAATATTATTTCTTTAATTGGTTCACATACAAAAAAAAAATATTATTTATATAAACAACAAGAAATCATGCGATCGTTGACACAAATATTCTGCGGCAGATCACAAAAAATATATATCAGCTTACAAAATGGTTCAATATTTTATTTTTATTTTACGGTTGATTTTTTTCTAACAAATAACTAAATTACATATTAAATTTTGGGAAAGTCTGTTCACAGATGAATAAATTTGATTTTGCTCATTTCAGTTTAAAAAAATTGCTCGAAACATCATCAAAAAACGACAAAAATATGTTTACTTTGTTTTTGTCGATAGTTTCAGATTCTTTGGAAAAATAAACACATGTGTCACATGAATATTTTTGTAATGCTTTATTTATTGAATACCTGCAAAAATATGTAAACACAACAGGCTGGAAGACGCTCACGCACTCGGCCGCGTTAATTTTCCTGAGGCGATCTGTGTCTATGCGTCCGGGGGCTGGCCCCCTTGCGGAGCCTTGGTTTCGTCACAGAATATCGTCGACGGCAAGGATACGTACTTTCGCATCTGTATTAAGTGATCTGTGACATAACATAACATATTATAACATAACATACGTAACTACTTATGGGTGTTCTTTCCAGTCTATGATTTGGTAACCTCATTGAATCAGGGTTTCTCAGAGAATAACTCCAAGCAACCTCTCCAGACCTCTCTCACTTACTCTTATTCTTATAGATATAGATACAACAGTTCAATGTGTATACCGAGATAACCGTCAAAACTCTTAAGTCCTTGAAAATATTTCTATATAAACATAGTATGTTTTTAAATGTGATTTCACAATTTTTTTCTGCATCATCAACACTTCATTTATGTGGACAGCGCTGCCCCTACAAACAATTAAGTATGGGCTGAACATACACAGAAAAAAACAAAATCTTAATTGTAGATTACGTATATTTTCAATATTATTTACTTGATTCAAGCTTACATATTTTTAATTTAAGGACACCAGTTTAAATCAAGAATTTCAATATGTTTGAAAAATGAATATAATATTTTCAAGATATATTTTTCATTGTAGTAAATAGGCTTGTTTCGAAATGTTTCACATTTTTATTCCTAAATTACGAATTTTAGTTTTGAGCAATCGGCTCTTTATTTGGAAACTATTACCTCTTCAGAATGATGATTCACAATTTTGGCAGGAGAAACAATATACCTATTTTGAGCATGTACTAATTTTTGTTTTGAACAACCTAATACTAAAACGGAAAGGATAAAAAATAAAATACTCTTAATTTGAGTATATTATTTCTCCGTATTCTCAATATTAACAAATATAAGAGTATAAAATACCTATTTCAAAAATATAGGTATATCTTTAATTTAATAAGTTTCACATCCTCAATTTGAAAATACTTTGAAAATGTATTTTCCATTAGAGAATATAATCGTACCGTAATGCTTGGTTTGAGTAAAACGGCTTACAAGTATAACGATTTTTCATAGGAACTCTCCGTCGTCACTAGTTCGTTGAAGAGTAAGGTTCATGTAAGGTTACGGCTGGCTGTTTGAACTTCATCATTCAGTTTTTTTTTGTGAATCTTCTATGGAGGCGTCTCACGTTTTTTTTCCTACCCTATATGGATTGCCTGGATTGGATTTATATTCTGCAGTATCTACCCAGATTTGGTTACCAAACCCATGCAACCTTTTCATTTGATATTGAAAGAAAAAGTTGTTAACCATTGTTTGTTTCGTCCAGAAATAGTTGGATCGAGAGAAATATTTTATCAGGATTTTTTTTTTTGTAATGTGAAAAATAAAAAAGTTTAGCATTCTGTAACTGAATTTGGGTGAACGCTGTAGAGTAGAATACTCTAATGGCTGTTTGCACCGACCATTTTAAGGGAGACTTAACGAAAAGTATTCCTTAAAATGACATTTTTACATGTAAAAAATTTGACATTTTTTACATGTAAAAATGTCATTTTAAGGTATACTTATCCCTTGAAATGGTGGGTGCAAATGGCCATAAAAAACTATACAAAAGTTTACTCCAAGCAAATCTCAATTTTCATGGTGAAATTACCGTCCTCTTAAAATGAAACTGGGATAGCATCAAATAGAGCAGATCTATATTATTAGATAGAACTGACATATGCTCAGTTCAAGTTGCTATATAAATATCTAAAAGTTTAGGATGAAGCGATATATCTTCAATTTGAAATAACTACATTTTTATTAAAAAATGTGAAATACTCAAACGAAACATCGCATTTTGTTAAAAGAAACCTAATATATTGAGAATTTGCTATTCTTATTCCAAGGCGTCATAGTCTTGAGAATGTACAAAGCTAACTTATGCTTGAATTGAGCTTAAGCTATTTGAACCAAGTATTTTGTTTTTTGCGTGTAGGCATAATATTATTATAGTAAAATTGATTGGTTCACATAGTTCCTGAGACGCCAAACCACAAGAAATGATCTTGACAGCCTACCCAGTACAGCATCTATATGAGTATCCCCTGACAAGTTTGAATCAACATGCACACCCAAGAACTTCACCGCATCTTCCTGCGCAATCGTTCCGTTATGTGTTTTTATATCAGCTGGATGGTTCTTTGGAGGAATTTCTTCCCGCCCAACGGTGCAGCATCCGAAGGCTATTCGTTTGTTCACGATCGACTCGCACTCGGTGAGAGGGTGTTCTGGAGTTCCTTCCCTTAGTCGCAGAACCGGCAGCTGTCTTCGTTTTTAATTTTAATTCTCTCAAGGTGCTCTTACAACCGGGAGAGGCCTACAAGGAGTCCAGTGAGAATGCGAAGATTGTTTTTACTCAGTGATATAAGGTCGTTTGATCTCCCTTGGTGAGGGGCCCAAGAAACATTTTTGATTGCCTTAACCCTGGGCGTTGTTCCCAGAGGCTGATCCATTTGGTTCGGTCTTCCTTTCTGTACGCTTCCTTATAGGTGTGCGTCCCTATGCCACAGAAAGGCTGTGGTGCTGAAAGCGGAGTTTGTGCACCCAATTTCGCCAATTAGTCCGCCTTCTCATTACCTGCGATCCCTGCGTGTCCTGGGATCCACTGGAGAGATAGTTTGTTATTTTTGCCCAGTTTATTTAACTTGTTCAGGCATTCCCGAACCATGCTAGACCTGATTATTGGTGAGCTCAGCGCTTTGATGGCTGCTTGACTGTCTGTCAATCTCTTCTTTTTTTGTAGTTTCTGTCAAGATTGAACTCAGGACATCTACTAATGGCGTTTATTTCCGCCTGAAATATACGTCTGGGTGTTTCCCATTGCTCCGAAAAACTTGATTCCAGGTCCAAATGCTCCGGTCCCTTGTTCAGTTCTTGACCCATCATCTCACGACTTTCTGCTGCATTTTAAGAATAGATGTGGTGCTTTTTTTCCATTCTTCTCTGCTTCCTATGACTACTGTGAAGCGTTTCTCGAAATAATAATGTTTTGTTCATATCATCATGGGGGGCTAGAGGAGCGGAATAAGCTTGCTTAGAGATGCTAATTCTCTCCTTTCAGCCCCCTCTCTCGAGTATTCATTGCGCCCGTGATGCACGTGCACGCCAGGCGATGTATTTTGTTGAGAGCTGCTTTTATGTTCTGCTTCTCAACTTCTCCAAACCAGACTATCGATCCGAATAGTAAGGTTGGTCTCACCATCATGGTGTACATCCATCTCAAGATCCCTGGTTTGCATTCCTAGGTTTTGCCTGCAAGATTTCGGCATGCCATGAGAACCCTTGTAGCCTTGGTTACAACTCCCTCAATGTGTTTGATGGGGTAATCTCCAGTCCCACTGTTCGGCACCATTCCTTCGTTGCTTTGAGTCCAGTTTGTAAGAGTTCACACTGGGTGCCCTCGAACTTTTTTCTTGCTATGATGACAATGTCATCGGTATACCCAACGCAGTGCAAGCCCAGGTTGTTCAGTATTCCTAGTAGTTCATCCACTACTAAACTCCACATCAGGGGTGAGTATCATGCTCGTCAGTTGGAACAGAGCTGTCTCAGTGGACCTGCCTGCTCTGTAGGCGTGCTGAATTGTATTCAAAGGCCACCTTTCCAATGTAGTGGATCTGATATAGTTATTTACTGTCTTTTCCATCGTCTTTAGAAGGAACGATGTGAGGCTTATTGGTCTGAAGGATTTGGAATCTGTCCGATTCTTCTTGCCTGCCTTCAGGATAAAAGTGACTTTTGCCCTTTTCCATATTTTAGTTATATACTCAGCAGAAGATTCGTAAGAACAATAATTAATTATTTTTCCTAAACGATAAACTTACAAATACACTATCTATAACATTATCCTTTTCCCTTTGCGTATATTGTTGACGTTTATATGATAATTTATGACCCACCACATAAGAGTTTTCCATTTTAATCTCGTTATGATATATTTTCCATTGCAGAACATGAAAGTAAGGCCACATAATTTATAGAGGCAGCTACTATAGCCTACTTACGGATCTTGAAGGTATAAACTAAATTCTGGAACATTTCAAGTGTGTTCCGGGGGTTTGAATATAGAATTTTTATGCTAATCGGAACTACTATACTTACCCTTTTACATCTGTAACATATTTTTCAATTTTTCGCGTATCCTCTTTAGGTCTGAAATTTTCAACTTTGGGGACACCATATAGGCCAATATCAACATACAAATGCGCTATGTTTCCTTTTGGACGAAGCATTCCTGGATTATTTGGCAAAATAAACGGACACAGCCATATCGGATACACGTTAAACGTATCCTGGAACATTTGTATGCTTTCCTTGAATGTTTCTATTGGCACAAGCATATCTTGGAGCACGTGGTTATTTTCGTACAGTTTTTTTATTGCGTCAGTTTGGGTCAATTTAAGTAAAGATATTTTTGGAGGTACCATCCAGCCCAAAAGAAATCGAAAGAGGAAGTTGTTGCCGAATGGAATAATGTCCTGAAAGAAAATTGATTGATACTTAATACGAAGACACCAATATTAAATATCTAAAAATAAATAAATAAAACCCGCTGAAAATGTCCTACGCATTGAACATGCAAAAATTATGTCTTCAAATAATGTTACCTAGGCATTTACATGTTTGCATGCAGATTCTTTAACAATATTTTCCTCCTATTTGAGTAAATTATTATATCGGAGTTCTAAATGTCTTTTTTTAGGCTCATCAGGTTTTATCGGAAAATGGGGAAAAATTGAAATTTCGAGAAGAGCCGATACTTACAACACACTTCAGATTGAAGAATCTATTTTTGTTGGATCTGATTTCCAAAATTTTAGTGGAGCAGAGCGTCAGGTTAGCCCCTTATCAGGTTTAAATCGGAAAATGGCCGAAAATGGAAATTTCGAGAAAAATCTGATACAGCAACACTTCAGATTAAATAAGAATTTCTTTTTGTTTGATCTGATCCCCAAAATTTTTTGGATGGGGGGGACTGACCGGTGAGGTAAGCCCTCATCTTTTTTCCTATAACCTCGATATTGAACATTTTTTTCTTTAAAATTTTTTGAGAAAGTTTCAAACTTTATCAAATTACAGGAAGAAAGAAGGTACGACAAACACTAAAATTAGGAAAAGGTAGTTCAAGGGTCAATAAATTGCCGCTTTGAAATTTAATTTTAATTCCGAACTAGGCATTCCAGGTCACGTGACTTTGACAAGGTCCGCCATATTTGCTGAGGGGCAACCAAAGCCTATAAATCATTATTGTTTACAATGTTTTTTCAGTTTGTGCTTCGGAATTTTTGCGTTTTTTGATTTGTTCAATAAATTTTAAGTTGTTTTGAGTTTTTGTGAATGAATGGAATGAATGAATGAATCTTTATTTAAAGACATGCCACTTTACATTTCAATTCAACAATAGTAAACAAACAATTTATTAACAAAAATAATGCTTAAGAATCTAAATTGTTTAAAAAATAAAAAAGTTTGATACTAACAGCCTTACAAATAAACTTTAGCAAAATAAATTTGTGGTAGAATGACTCCTTGAAACGTTTTGACTGTTCTGATCGGTGCACAGATCTGGCATGTAGCTTAGCTTACTGGCTTGTTCATTCTGGGCTTTTATCAATTATCGTAGTATATCCTAAATTTGTACTGGGGACCCAATCCGGATTGTTTGTATCCTTAAATTCTGCTGGACTACCTAAAAGGTATTAAAAGTTACCTACTTGCAGAAACATAAACAACTTTTTTGATATACCGAGATGAAGTGTTTTTGTATTTTAACAACATGACAGTCATAAAACTTACCATTAGCAAAATGTTTCGAACAAATTCGAGCATTTTCAACAACGTTACAGTCAAATCTCCCCTTTTGAGGCATCTAATTCACATACTCCGTTGTTTTTTTGATAGCTCGTTTATGCGATCCCCTCGATCTTTAAATGCTGCTGGAATCCTAAAAAACCTCACTTTATCCCTTTCAGCTCTATTGGAGCACCCAAAAACGCCACAAAACGAAGGCATCTTCATAAAATAATACTTCAAAAATTCTCGGTTTGCATTGAAAATAACATTAAATCAGGTTATGTTTGGCTTGTGTCTGCCCCTCAGTTAAAATGGCGGATCGGTTATGACGTCAACCTGGAATGCCTAACATCAAAGATATTCTAAAAAACACAAATCTTATTGCAAGGTGAATCCTTTTATTTTTCTACAATAAAGCGGTATTAGATGTAACATTTGGCTTTTCGTCCCCATCGTCAACTTGGTTTTAGGAAGGGGATGTGATATTTATTGCCTGTATTTTCACGGATTCCGCGAGTACACTGACACTTCACTAACAACAACAAATTTTATTTTACTAGTTGACTTTATAAAATTCACCAATCACTTTTACTCAACTTTACACAACAATTCTCCTATTCAAATTGATGACTGACTTAATAAAAGCACCGCGATTTATTATACAAAACCAATAATGTTTATTTAAATCACTTGATAGAATTCTTAAATATCCGCTCTCAGGTCGTAAACAGTGGCGTGGGTTTCTTCGCACCAATGTTATTTCGGGAGACTGCATCTCTCTCAATTCAGATAGTCCCGACCTGACCATTTACTTCTCCTAAGCCTTCACCCTATCAAGATACACCACCTTCTGTTCTACGACTACAGTACCTTCACTCAGATCCATAATCATGTCATCTATCATTCTCGATTTCCCTACTTCTAGTAGGTATTACTATGCCTTTCGGAGTCCTTAGATCCCATGTTTTTGAAGTCTAGATCTGTTCTTAGGCATTCGTTATCATCTTTCATCATCCCAATAATAAGCTGAACATCTCTATGCATTTGGGTGTTTCTTTTTATGTGACAAGAGCAAGCCACAACCCTTATTCTCCTTTTCAAAGGACTTTGCAGAAGAACGTTCAGTGGGAATTTTTTTGTGTAAACGAATTTACCTTTCATGCTAAAAATTTGTCAAGTATTCTGCAGAGTAGCTGTTTCTAAACTAAAATCATCTCGGCACCTTCGGACGTTCCAGGGGTCGATAAATCGTGTCTCTGGATGCCGGGGAGCCATATCGAAAAAAAAACGTCAATATTCTCTTGACTGTCGATTGCCAATAAGGCGTGAAAAAATCTGATCCAAAAAAGTAAAGTTATAATATTTCGTGAAAGAAACTTTAGAAAAATATCATTTATTTTTAGATGCAGCAGTTGAATAATATAGAAGTTGATAGAATATTTAGCAGTTGGGATTAATAATTATTATCAGTTCATAACGATTAACATTTTGCATTTCTATTTTCACCGTAGCAAATTAACTAATGAAAATCTCATTAACTTTGACAGTAATTTAGCGTCTGTCGGTCTAGCCATATTTCCGGCCATTTGCCCAACCATTTAATGTTTACCTAAACGAATTCTGACATTACCTCACACCAGGTGGGATTTTAATAATTTAAACTATACGAGTTCAGGAAGTATGGTTAACTTTTGTGAGATAAGAAATGTGTGGTATGTAAATACCTATATAAATTTTTCTGGAAAAAATGAAAATTCTCAGAACTGCGAACAATGTTACTGCTTTTCTCTGGTTTACGATGGGATCCTCTATATGCGTAGCGGTATTTTTATACAGGTACCTACACTTATTGTTCCGTGTTCGATTGTTTTACCAATATTTATTTAACCTGTTCATTAACATAATACATTTTATAATCAAAAGGTCTATAATTTGAGCTTTATTGTCGTCAATACTTGATACAGAAGTGATCAAGTAGTAGAATAAATAAATACGGATAATCAAGTTGATGTGTCTGCTCGTTTAAGGAGCGTCTACGTCCCGAGCAGTGAAGTGATCTAATTTTGATTTGACATTGAAGTAAACAAAGGACAACGCACACCTAACATGGGATTTTTGGGCTCTATGGATTTTGCCCATTTTTTGATATGTTGTAGAGGATTTAATTCTTAACTTTTAAATAGGACGAAATCTTGTAGGTATTACGGTCTTTGAGATATGAGAGTTGAAAGATGAACTTTTTTGCGACTTTTTGTGTGGAGAGTATACAAAATACTGGTACTACACCAAGCTTCCACTTATCGTAATAAGGTTGAAGGATTGTAAGGTGGTGGGCTAGCTGAAATTTTGTTGCTTGTGTGTAAAAGGATTGAGCGTTTTAATTCCTGACGACTTTTAAATGGAACGAAATCTTGTAGGTATTACGGTCTTTGAAATATGAGCGTTGAAAGATGAACTTTTTTGCGACTTTTTGTGTGGAGAGTATACGAAATACTGGTGTTTATCAGTCAAAATATTGACAGGTTCACAAATTTTACGTCACTTACAAATTAATGTCAACATAGGCTAAGGCCGGGACCGCACTTAGCCCAATGTTGGCGCCAGTGCGGTTCTGGCCTTAGCCTATGTTGACATTTGTAAGTGACGTAAAATATGTGAACCTGTCAATATTTTGACTGATAAACACCAGTATTTCGTATACTCTCCACACAAAAAGTCGCAAAAAAGTTCATCTTTCAACGCTCATATTTCAAACACCGTAATACCTACAAGATTTCGTTCCATTTAAAAGTTGTTACGAATTAAAACGCTCAATCCTTTTACACACAAGCAACAAAATTTCAGCTAGCCCACCACCTTGCAATCCTTCAACCTTATTACGATAAGTGGAAGCTTGGTGTTAATGGTCAAAAGACAAAGCTCATATGCTTCCACAAGAAGCATACCAATAGCACCATGCCCACCACACTTATCGTAAATAACATCCCAGTCACTCTGTTTCCAAAGACGAAATACCTAGGAATCCTTTTTGATCAGAGAATGAAATTCCATCACCACGTTCAGGGCCCCTGCTACCATAAGCGCAAAGGCGTGCGGCGCACGCGGGCGTCATAGCCAAGGGGCGGCAAATCGCACGAGAGAAAAATATATACAAAAAAAATTGTAATTTAATTTATTAAATATTTATTAATTACATTTTTTTTCCTAGAGTGTTAAGTGTTTCAATTATTTTCTTTTTTATTCAAAGGCCAGGCGCTTATCTGGGAACTGAGAACAAGTGCCGTGTCCTACTCAGTTCCATGTAAAATCTCATGTGAGTCAGACAAAGACTGAAAATTAATAAAACCGTGCCCTGCGCCCTCGTGCGTATCGAGCGAGAATTAGGCTGCAGGGTCTTTATTCTTGAAACAAGGGAGCAAAGTTCCCAGGAGAGCGGGTGTCCCATCTTTGTTACTTATATTATCATTTGCATATCATTGAGAAAGACGGAACACTGGTTTTCTTGGGAATGTTGCTCCCAGAGACATGAGTATGAAATATGAACTGCGTGTTCCGTATAGTTGCCGTACGCGGCAGTGATGGAAAGATGGTTAGGCAACCAGTCTTTCGCATTGTGGGCAAGAAGCTACACAAGCGCATTACCCACCACGAGAAATAACACATAATTTCATTTAAAGATGACATATAATTAGTTATCCATAGTGTATCATTAAAAACTAAATACCAGACGTGCTTAAAAGTATGTGTTTCGTGCAGACCTATGAGGCAAAAAAATAAAACAACACTTAAACGTTAGATAAAAAAACTTGTTATTCCTAAACAATTCTTGGGCAAATTCAAAGGCACAAAATACTAGGTAAACTTAAATTTAGAATTTAGATGCAAAACTGATTTTAATTCTACTGGTTCTTAAAAATTACAAGTTTTGTATACATTTGCCTAACTCTATCAGTGATTCTACTTGCTTCCTTATTCTGATAATGGATTCTAACGAGAAAATAAACACGTAAAATTGCGTTGATCAGCTGGACTAATATCATTTATGTAGTAATTAAAAAACATGTCAATCTACGCAATTGACTCAATGTCACTCCAAAAATCTTTGCGCTTTTTTATTCGTCAAGCCTAACTAAGGGGCGCCAAAATATGAAATCGCACGCGGGCGGCTTCAGGTCTGGCGGGGTCCCTGACCACGTTTCCCATGCTCTGGCTCGCACCTTCAGTGCGCAGCAAAAACTTTACTAGCGGTTGTAGTTTAGAATATGAACTGTTGATTGAAAATATTATTAAGAATAATGTTAATATATTTTAAAATTTTCAAAAACTGAACCATAAATATATATTAATCTGCGGAAAAGCTCATTTTTACAGTACTAGATGATCGTGGTGGCTTCTTCTATATTTTATGAGAATACCTACATATATTCGTTGAATAAACTATACATGATACAGATACTTGTGCATCAAATTGATAATTGATGAACCAGACAGAAGTATAGCAAGAAGAAAAGTACATTCATCATATTTTAATAATGAGATTCCAACAATATATAAATTTTGTGCAGCCCTAAGAAAAGACAAAAATGGACCGGAAACGGGAGGCAGATGCAGACTAGAATTGTCCGTGGGAGAATATCTAAGAGATAACACTGGAGAATGGACATCTAAGAGATAACTGGAAAAAGACCGACGCAACTAAGCAGGGCAACTTAAACGATACAAAAATGTCATCAAGACCAACATGAGAACATGTCAGATCGATGGGGGTAAATGGAAGGCTACGGCCCCGGTTAGACCCGTATGGCAACGAAATATCCATTAGGGCTCGGATTTTTTGGTACGTCAAAAGCGAAGGGGATAAGCGGAATCGTATAGCAAAGAATGAGAACTACTGATAAGTAGGCCCACAACAACGACCGGCACCGCGAGCTGGGGTGCGATCATTGTGCTCTGGGAAAAGTTGTGGGTTCAGAGGCATGGATAATTATAAGAGAACTCACATGTAATAATGCTGCCAAGAGTCTTATACGTATAATGATCATTAGCGAGTGATTGCTTATACTTATGATGGTGCATGAATGAACGACAAGCTAGGTATTAACGTATGTTAATGATAGGCATTCTGTGAGGTGAGGATAAACATATTCAAAGATCTAGCCATGCCTGGCTTCCATTCTTGATTCTTCCTAAAAAATTGCTCTTTTTACCACCACTACCAGGGTTGATATAAGCATAAGTGCAAGTATCTATTTATTGCAAGACATAATATACCTAGTATCAACCTTTGAATTTATAAAAGTGTAATATTTTTCACGAAAGGCGTTGGATGTTACCGAAGAAAATCTGATCAATGCTGTAAACCACGTCATAATAAAAGAAGACAGAAGATGGCGCTTCGAAAACTTTGTCCACGAGACTATAGAACCATTAGTTATAACTGTGAAAATATCTGATTTAGATAAGAGTGAGGACATTTTTGGTTGAAACATGAAACGGTCCAACTAAAATGACAATAAGTTAAATTCTTAGCAGTAGAACATTTAATACTTCTCAAAACTACATCAAAATCTACCATAAAATTACAAATGTTCAAGTAGGCGCTGAGACAAATGTTTTTAGGCAGCCGACGTCAGTCACTGTGCGACATTTAAACCACCCAAATATCATCCACCTTATTGGTGCGAGATTTGGTCTTATTTGTTATTAGAGTTTATAACAACGTCTGCTAATAGTCGCATTTGACTTCGTCCACTAAACCCTATACTCTGTTCCCTTTTCCTTACTAGCACAGGAAAATGCAAAAAAGGGCGAATACCATAAAGCGATCATAAACCATAGGCGGCCATAAGACCCAGGTAACTATAGGGCTATAGGCATAGAATTAATTTTGCACTTGTAAGTAGTGTATGCATATATAGTGTTTTTATTGTAAAGTTATTGTAAAAATATTATCAGACTTTTATCCGGTAAAATGCAAGGGCGCTCTTGATTCCTCTTGTATCCTAGCCGGTACCGAGTGTGTCCATGAAATATTGTTGAAACTAGATTTATGCTTCTGTTATATTTACGCATTATACCTACAATGCTCACCCTGCTTTCGACGGTATACCAGTTTAATTCCCCGAGGAAAGATAATAGATGATATTCAAATCAAAAGCGATCTCTTTGTCACCCCACATATTTATTTATCGACGAATCGATTTGAAAAATTTCCTCTCAGACTTTTGAAGAGATCTGTCACTTTAATTTAGATGTACTGACTGGACTGCAACGTACCTGTAACTCCCAGAATATCGATCTTGTATGTCTGTGATAATAATCCCGTAATGGGATATATTCTGTGACTGGGGTTTTCTTTGTCAACATCCCTTTGACGTGAAGGAAGAACCAAGGCTTGTACCATTTTCCTATAGCATTTATCTAAAAATATTTATCAACATTTTAATTTTGACGGAATAAAAACTATCTACTCTCCTCACCTTATCCAGTTCCACTTGGTCGACTTGTACACCTTTCATAATGACGGCTTCATTCCCGCTATAACCCAAAGCTTCAACAAATTCATTTTTTAAATTTGTGCTGGCTTCAGTAAATTTTTTGGCAATATTATCAGATCCTGTGACGGCTTCATAAGTAAGCCTTACATATTTTTTAGCTGGAACAAGTTTGATTTCAACTGCAGTTAAAATGCCCAAAGTACCATAAGACCATGGAATAGCATAGAAAAGATCTGGGTTCTCATCTTTTGAACATTTAACTAAGCTTCCATCACAAAGGACTAGCTCGAAGGAAACACAAATATGTTGAAATAATCCGTATATGTGGGACGATGATTCAATTCCAGTACCCATTACTAAGCCTCCTACTGTCAAATCATCAATTTCTGGCAAGACAGGAATTGTCCAGCCCAATGGATTCAAGGTAGCTGTTAACTGTCCCATACTGACCAACGGCTCAACTTTGACAATCTTGAAAATAAGACAATTTTCATCATAAAATCAATATGGTTGTGAATAATTGGGTTAGTTTAACTAACCCAATTATTCACAACCATATTAATCATCAGCGGTCGTTATCCAAAAACATAAAATTAATGTATGCAAAATTTTAGCACCTAAAGAATAGTTATGTATTAAGATTAAATGCAGAAAACGTCATTTTAAATAGTTTTTTGTGCCTTTAACAAAACCAGAGTCGTTGATAATTATGTCTCTTATTTTACGGTAATTTTTAGAAAACAATCGGGACTCGTGCTTTTTGACATAATTTGAAAGCACTATCTGATTTTTGAGCGAATAATTTAAACTTCAGCTAAATATTGTAGAGCATATAAAAAGAAGCATTAACAAGGTTTGGTTTTAAAAGGAGTGGTATTAAAAGAGAAACTTTTACACTAGAATAGGTGTAGACAACTCAAACCAAAATATATAAATACTCAAAAAGATCAAGAATTGCGGTTAGGTATATCTTTTTGGATCCAAAGAAAAAAAAACTCTCCATGCCACATCCTTTAGATAGATGAGACTAGGACTAGCTTCAATGGCGTGAAGTTTGCGGACCTGCAGATGTTGGTCAGAATAATATCCAAATATTGTGATAAAGATAATAGAAGCCGAGAGTAGTATTTTTCAAATACATAATTATGTGTGGCATGGTGTTTTAAACAATAGAGTTAACAGTGCCGTATTTTATTAGGGCAAATTTATCTTGCTTAGAGGTATGTAATGTAATACTTACTTTCTTGTCAATGTTCACTTCCAGTATGTCTACCAAGTTTACTTCAATTTGTTTCATAGAGTTTTTATATAAAGGCTGCCTGAAACAGACGGTTTGCCAACCTGGTCTTGCCGTGCACATTTGACTTTTTTTGCCATGAGTAGCCCATTCTCGAATCTAAAAAAAAAAAAACATGCATAATATGTTTACTAAAAATAATTTGGAACGGCTAATAGGTAAAGTCCGTTTCACCAGGGTTCATGCTTGACCTTGAAACTTGAAAAAAAAAGGGTTGTCGTAGATTAATTCATATGACACATTCAATTTTTTCACAAATTAAAATGAATGACTTCTGGTTTAAGAACCGACGAACGTTTTTGACGTCATTTATTTGTTTCAGTCAATTTTTATTTGTTAAACAAGGGAGGCAAATGCTGGTGGCAAGTACAAACCCTGGCGAAACAAACTTTATCACTGGTATCAATTAATAGTATATTCTTCAACAAGCATATTATGATGATAGACTTTTTGTAAGAAAATCATTAGTTTTTGTAAGAAATAACAATCATCAAAGGTCTTATTTTTTTTAAAACGAAAGTTTCGTGATCTGACAGTAGACGTCAGTTATCTGTCTCGTTGCGGCCCGTGTATTCTGAAGATACGGAGAATTTGATTGGTCGATAGGCCGTGGATTCCGGTTGGGAATCCACGGGGCGTGTAGAATTCGAATCATTAAGGCCCATTTATAAACTTGACGTTACGATTCCGTTACCGTTTGCGCCTGCCGTCGTGAACATAAAAATATAGGATTCCATAAGATCATTTATATTCGCCGTCGGCCTCACCGTCCGCCGTTAGCTCTGCCGTTTCATTCCGTTAGACATAAACCAATTTTATCTTTTCCGTCGCCGACGTCTGTAGCAAGTCATGCTACAGATTGAGAGAGCCAATCAGAACGGATTTTCACCAGTCATGTGATGTTTATCACAAATGTCATCGTGCTGAGGTGGGAGAGGGGAGAGATTATTTTGATTTTTCGAATTTTAAATTTTGTTTGGGTTCATGTCAATTATTATCAAATCAGTAAATCACCACCAAATCGTCTAAAATCGTCCAAATCACTCACAAAATGACAAAATGAGGGCACACGCACAACAGAGGTTATGTTTATTATTTACTTTTTGAGAACGTCAGACGGCAAGTTTATTAATGGTCCAATTTTTGTGGCTTCGGACGGCGGGGCTAACGGCGAGCCGTCTGTAGGCGCAAACGGTAACGGAATGGTAACGTCAAGTTTATAAATGGGCCTTTAATCAGTTTGATATCGAACAAGAATGGATGTTGTCAAAGTCAAGTATACAGTCTTTTATCTTTTACCATTTTCTATAATTTTTTACACAAAGTAAGTTAAAATCAAATATTTGGCGCTGATTATCATATTTCTCAAGATTTTTTAAGCAAGAAGAACGAATTCGTCCAGCCGTAGAACCCGGGTTTATCAAAATTTTTGTGGAACTGCTAAATCCCAATGTCAGTTTGACTTTTACATTTTTATATGAAAAATTTTAGAAGAATATGTATCTCTGGCGACGGAAATTGCTCGTTCAGGTCAGTAAGCTACTTTTTGTATGGTACTGAATATGCTTTTTCTCAACTTAGAAAACAAGCAGTTGAATACATTGGGAATAACTGGAACATTTTCGAAATTTTTTTGCAAAAAGGAAATGAAGATAATGCCTCGACATCCAAGCAAGAATATATCTCACATATGACCAATAATGGAACCTACGCAACTGCTTTTGAATGTTTTGCCCTCTCTGACCTCTTCGAATTAACTTTTCATGTTTATTTTTCAAAATCAAGAAATGGTAATGAAGATGTTTCTTTCGTAGAATCTCCACTAGTAGTCAGTCGTACCGACTACGCCAGAATCATATATCTACATTTTTCTGGGAACCTTGATAATGGTCATTTTGATTTACTTTTTCCGTCAAGCCACACCAAAAATTTGGACCATCCCAACCAATGTTTTTTATGTACCAAATTTTTTAAATTTAAAAATGGTCTCAAGATTCACAAATCCAAAGTTCATAAGGATTTCGGAGTACAAAATTTGAATTCTTCAACAGAGTTTTACTAAAGATTTATTACATTTATCATGTAATAATACTTCAATTAATGATTGTGACGCCCAAAATTAATTCTTTACTTCCTCCCAATTTAGATGAGTGCTCTAAAAATCCTGAAGTTTCTTCAAATAAAATTGAATGTTCTCTGTGTGGGAAGTTTTTTCTGGGAGAAAGAGGACTAAAGCAACACAAATCAATCAAACATTTATCAGAAGAAATTACCGACAATTTTCTTTTAAATAGCGAAGAAATCACTGAATATTTACAGGTCTTAGATCTGTTGTCACAGTTATTCGTCGTATTCCAAAAGGTACTCGTTCCTGTATAGCCGAAGAACTTTCAAACCTTTTGCTTAAATGCATATCGGAAAATTCTCCCCGTTCCTGGTTTAATTTGTTCCTGTTTCCATACGCTACTCTAAAACTTCAAGAAAAAAACAAGACAAAATAAGAAACAATCACTAACCACGTTAGTTAAACAAAATGTATCAATATGGAAAAAACAAAAATTACTTTCCCACAAATTATTTCAAGATTTTTACAAGCCTTCGTTTTCAAAATCAAAAACAAAACCAAAGAAATCCAAATTGGACTATTTAAAAACCAAGATAAATGCAAAATTATCCGAAAATGACATCAAAGATTCCATAAGATTACTTTGCTCCGAAGATACTATAGCAGATGCTGATTCTAACACCTTCGAAAAACTGAAAGAAAAACATCCTCCACCTCTTGTCAATGACGTTTTCCCGAACTCACCTGAGCATGAATATTCTTTTGACATTTCAGTTTTAGACATTAAAAATTTAATTACTTCTTTCAGGCCAGGTTCTTCAGGAGGTCTCGACGCACTGAGACCGCAACATTTGAAAGATGAGCTTGGTGAAACTTCCCATATTCTTCCATCCCTTGGTGAATATTTCCGTCCTCATCAATTTGGTTTTGCAACCAAATCCGGTTGTGAAGCCACTGTTCATGCAGTTCGAAAGTATATATCTTTTCCTCATAATTCGCCTAAAATTCTGATAAAAATCGATTTCTTAAATGCCTTCAATATGATTAATAGGGGGAATCTTTTACCTAAAGTAAAAGAATTAATTACTGATTTCTACAACTTAATTTCTTCTTGTTATAGAGAGAAATCGTTTTTATCTTTTGGTAAGGATTTATTTTTTTTCCAACGAGGAGTACAACAAGGAGACCCTCTAGGCCCTCTTCTTTTTTGTCTATCAATTCATCCTATAATTCTTCCTTTGAAATCTGAAATAAATTTGTGGTACCTTGATGATGGTATCATTGCTGGGGAGCCGCGGAAGTCGTATTAGAAGATTTTAGAAGAATTCTTAAAGGATGTATTTCAACGGGCATGGAAGTGAATTTGAAAAAATGTGAGTTATCTATCTTATCTGCAGACTTTAATTTTGATTTTGGCAATTTCATCCAGAGAAATCCTGAACTATCCACTGTATCAAAAATAGATAAAAAAGACCGTACACTTCTTGGAAGTGCCTTCTCCGCTCAATTTATCTACACCTGTTTTCAAAAGAAGATCGATATTTTCAATAAAATAAATTATCTTTAATTGATTCTCACCCGGCATATTTCCTTTCAAGACATTCATTTGCAGTACCACGTATTACCTATTTACTTCGCTGCGCTCCTTGTTGGAAAGCTCCAAATCTTCTACATGACTGATCATCTTTTAAAAATTTTTGGAAAATATTACTAATTGCCATATGAGTGACACCGCTTGGTCTCTATGCAATATTCCTGTTAAAATGGGAGGTCTTGGCATTCGTGATGCTTCTAGTCTTTGTTTTTCTGCTTTTCTCGGATCAGTTAACGATGTATCAAATATTTTATCATCTAAAATTTTTCTTTATCCGGACAACTTTTTTGAAGAAGCCTTTGGTATATGGTCTTCTGTTTCAAATATGAGTGATTCATCTTCCAACAATTTCAATCACCAAAAATTTTTTGATGAGGCAATTTGTCGTTCAAAATTTGTTTCAATACTGAATTTATCAAAAAATCCAAGCGGTCAAGCTAGACTTCTAGCTCTTCAAGAACCAGAGAGCAGTGCCTGGCTCCAGGCTCTGCCATCGTCTGCACTAGGGAATCTTCTAGACGACACCACATTCCGCATCTCCGTCTCCTTGCGATTGGGTCAACCCTTATGTGAGACACACGACTGCACTTGCGGCAAAAATGTAGACATTTATGGGCATCATGCTTTAAGCTGCTACAAAAGTGCCGTTCGTTTGTCTCGTCATGGGCTACTGAACAATATTATTAAAAGTGCTCTGGCATCTGCAGGTATTCCCTCAGTGCTGGAACCTCCTGGTTTATGTCACGGAGATAGGAAGCGTGTTGATGGGCTCTCCTTATTTCCTTGGTGCAGAGGTAAATCTTTGATATGGGACGCCACGTGCAGGGATAGTTTTGTAGCATCTTATTTGGCCAAAACCTGCAAAAAATCTGGAGAAGCTGCACGTGGTGGAGAAGTGCAAAAAACAAAAAAATACGGAGAGCTTGAAGCCAGTGGGTACACATCTTCGTACCATTTAGTGATCGTTGAGACAATGGGCCCCTGGGGTGAAGAAGCCAAATCACTTATAAATAAAATCGCCAAATTAATAAACAACAAAAATGCTCGCTGTTATATTACTCAACAGATTAGTCTTGCAATTCAACGTGGTAAGGCAGCTTCGATACTTGGGACCATTCCTAAAGATACTGGCTTGAAAGAAATTTTTTACATCTAATGCGAGATCTAATGGTATTTTTTGGGCTTTGGCGTTTTTTTTTTCATTTTCTATTTTTATTTTTTATTTTTTTTTTCTAATATTATTATATTTTATGTCCGATTGACCAATAAAGTGCTATTTAGAGAACAGTTTTGCGTCAATAAAGAAGCATTTTATTGTACTAGTGAAATAAAGTGCTACTTTATTATACTAGTAAAATAAAGTGCTACTTTATTGCCTACCTGGACTACCTGACAAGGTGATACAGGTCCTGACAACCTGCCAAGGTGAAACAGGTATACCTACGCAAATTTTACTTTTTTCATTAAATTTTTTTAATTTTCAACAAAAACCAGTCGTAATCCTACATAAAATCATGTATATAACGGTTACATAAACAGGCTTTATCGACTCATTATTTAATAGCCTCGCTCGCAAGCTCGCTCGGCCATAAAATTATTCGTACAATAAAGCCTTACTTTATGTACTTGTTATATAAATAGCTATTATTTAGTATGTGGGTGAGAATGGATGTATTATTTAATATTCGAAGAGAAAGTAGATTCTGTTTGTATTGGAGGAGCTTATGAAAACAAATGAAACCTAAGCAAATCATAATTTTGTTTATTCTTGGAAACCGATGAAGCACCAGCAAATCTATGATATTAGTAAAAGAACGGTAAAAGACAAACTGTTCAAATTTGTAGCTTAAAAACCAAACATGTAGGTATATGAATTTTTTTTAAAAAAAGATGTTGCAATCAAAAATGTCACATTATTGATACGAAAATGCATCAAAAGTCTGGCCCGAATTCTAAGAAATTTGTTGTTTACTTCTGGCAGCGCGTCTTTTCTGCTATTATATTTGAAAAACATCTTTTTCCAGATAGATCAATTGCGATTTCGACTATAGATGGCGCGTTGTAACTGAAACTGTGACTTTATTACCCAGATTTGACATCAAAAACAACCTTACGAACGGATTTTCTGGAAAATTCTATAGAATTCCATTTGAAAACGGTAAGTGATACAAGAATAGTGACTTTTATACTGTCTTCGACATCGAGAAACAAGGTCACCAGCGGATTTTCTGGAAAATTCTGGAAACTTCTATAGAATCTGGAAACCGTGCGTGATACAAGAATAGTGACTTCATTATTGATTTCGATATCGAAAAACAAGTTCACTGAGTGATTTTTCTAGAACATTCCATTGTGTTCTATTTGAAAATTTGACTTTGCCACAGAACTTCCGATTGAAAAGCAAGTTTCAGAAAAAGATTCAGAATACTCTATGATAAATACACGACAGCAAATAGTCGAAATGGAGCAAGTAAATCAAATGTTGGCGGACTTGACATGAAGTATTTGGACGACAAAAGACTAGAAGAAGAAGCCCGAAGACAGACAGAAAAACAAAGAAAAAGAAAACCGGAGAATCCGGAGATAGAAGGAAAAACAAGAGAAGAAGATCGGAGACAGAAAGAAAAACAAGAAGAAGAACAGGACCGCCTTCAGGAAACTTCGATTCTTAGCGTGAATGGATGCAAACCGTAATCACTCAGAAACAAACTAGACTCGAGAAAATTCTGCAAATGCAATGGAAGAAGTTGGAAACGTTCGTCACGAAGTTGAGAATGTTCGTCACGATGTTTGTCAGGAACTTGGAATTATTCGCGAAGAAATGGATAGGTACTTTTGAGAAAAAGATTGAAAAGTTGGAATATAAATTGAGAATTTCTCGGCTCATTTTTGGAAATTCTCCAGCTTAAAAAGTACATTTTCACCTAGGGGATATCATTTCGAGATTGCTTATGCATAAGGATAACGATAACGAAGTGACAAAATTTAAGACCAAAGACCAAAATATCGATAATTTTATAATAGTTTCCTTATTACCTGTCTTAAGTTAAGACAATAAACAATTTGAAAACATTGCATTTTTTGACATGGTGAATTTTTACTTCTATGGCCCAATGTTTTGTTTAATGTTCAAGAGCTAAAACTTCGGGCAGGTACAATTTGAAGTCTAAAGATTGGGCTTTATGCAATGATTTCGACAAAAAGCTTCTAAAATGCATTTAATTTCATAGAAAGTCTAAATTTGTATCGTTTTTGAGTGATGGCCAGTTGTTAATGGTTAAAATTGTACAGCCTGAATTGTCTACCATGTAAAACCCGTCTGAAAAATACAGCCTACCACTGTGGTACTTACGTATCAAGGTACCTAGACAAAAATCAAATAATAACCCCTTGGCCTACCAAAATAAATTAAGCCAGAACAGAAAATGCCATCATAAATAAATAATGAAGCAGGCTAAATTCGTGTACCTATAACATATTTTTTATATAAAATGATATGTCATGAATTAAAAAACTAACCGCATTCTACCTATGACCGCGGTCGAAAATATTTCGTGTAGTGCAAACAAAATGTTAATAATGCATTGAAAAAAAAAAACTTACCTGCTTTTGAACATATTTAACCTTCTTGTCATGCTGTTTGGGCGCGCTGGTCAATTTAAAAACAATCCAGTTTCTCAGATATGACCACAAATCATAAAAAAAAGATAGCGGCAATAAAAACAGACAAACTAACACCCATCGGTAGTGAATTAGAAGGTATTCGGTCAGTGATTGGTTACCTTTGTTTATCATTTTAATTAGATATTTTGGTCGCCTTTAAAATAAAAAAAAAATCACACTTGCTGCTTGTCCTAACACGAAGTGCACGTCCAACAAACTAGTAAATTGCCTATCAGTGAGTATAAATTAAACATTTATCTCTTATAAAAGTTTAAACATTGATGTATAGTTAATGCTGACGGCGACTTTATCAGTGGCGTAGTTTGTTCAAGAATATTTTTAGAAAATCTTGTTATCATAACCTTTCAATATTTGGAGCCTTTATGTGATGGAGCCCATTGTTGGAGAGAACCTCCAACACAATATTAACCTTGATGATATTTATTCATTGCTGATATAATAATTATGTCAGATCTGAAGGAGGTGTGAATAATTTTGCTAGTCATTGGGCATAGTTTTTCTATTTTTCATCCTTTGCATGAGGTTTTTTCTTTTGGTCACTTCTGTTGGTTTTGTACCCTTTTTTATAATAATTAGCGATAAAAACAATAATGTACTAACGTGATGTGTTTCGAACATACGGACAATAAGCTCTACCTTCCGTAGGTATCTTTGTAAATCGTGCAAATAAAATTGTATATAAAACTAGTAGTGCTGTAGTGCATCATTTGAAGTTGTCCGTCTCTAATTTGTGAATAGTGAATTGCACCTACACCCACGAGCTAGCGAAACATCAAGGAAATCAAACTTATACAAACTCCTAGGTACATCTATTATAAACTCACTATTTGAAAAAATTACTTTGTAGTTTTCTATGTATTTATTGTTATGTATACGGGTTCGTAGATAAGTGAGACTACCCTTCCAAAAACACTTCGTTTTACTCCACAATCAAGCCTAACTAAACTGCTGGTCAAATGAAGCGGAACAAGCGAATTTTTAGGTTAACTTCAAATTCCAATACTAGCAGTTTAGTTACAAAACTGAATCACAACTCATTGTCTTGTTATCCACTCGCGTTCCAATATTTATCCGATTGTTAATTCATTCCAGTTCAATTCACCACTAATATTTCTACGACACTTGGTACAGTTATAGGCCTGTTCGCAGAGCAATCACAAATCAGTTAGAGCGAATTTCATTGGTTGAAAATAATCGGAAACAGTCAAATGAAATTCACTCTGACGGGTTTGTGATTTCTCTGCAAACAGACCTAATATCAATCTTTTTTGGACTTTTTTTATTCACGTAAGTATTAATCAATTGCCAACGTTTCGACACGGATGCGTGTCATCCTCAGGGCTAGATTAGTAATTGTGGTGCTTATTTTTTGAAATTAAAAAACATAAAAAATACATAATTCCAACGGACATATCAAAATTCAAATCAGCCGTGCAATGGTAACAAGCTACAAATTGATACCATTGCACGGCTGGTTTGAATTTTGATATGTCCGTTGGAATTATGTATTTTTTATGTTTTTTAATTTCAAAAAACAAGCACCACAATTACTAATCTAGCCCTGAGGATGACACGCATCCGTGTCGAAACGTTGGCAATTGATTAATACTTACGTGAATAAAAAAAGTCCAAAAAGCTGCAATTTCGTTTCTTTACAAGTGTGTGGACGTGAACTACCTTTCAAATTACTAATATCAATCTCTTACCTACTCGAGCCAGCGTCCTATATATCCATGATACAACGGTCTGATATACCAGATCCCCATATGGACTATCCCATTTACGAATGTTTAAGTCATGTCGCAGAAACAACAAATCCCATTGAAACCAGTATCCCCTTATCATTGGAACGAAACTGGAAATTTCTTACCATACAGGTCGCTGTCCGTTTGTTAGCCAGTCGTGCAAAGCCTTTTCATATATTTTTTTTTTCTTTCTCGAAGTTTACTACCTATCAATTTCGGTATACTTAGCTCTTCTCTGTTGAACAACTTCAGAGTTTTCGACTGGTTTCTTTTATTCTTACCTTTCGAAAAATTTAGCAAAAGATGTTAATACATGATCTTGATGTTAGGCTGTCGGCGTAGGCATCTCTGATTTGGAAATCGTAGCAGCTACTGCAAGGCCGCATATTCAGTTCTAATAAGTAACTTCCTTCCATAGAGAATACTGTGTGCTCAATGGAATCTTACTGCGACCAGGAGATCCTTTGGGGTGACACAATAGTTTCCCTCTGCCTTTCCAGGGATTTACTACTGGCTTTGATTCCGGGAGAGAACAGCTCCTAATCCACATTGCGAAGCAGTGGAGTCTAACACAAACAGTCCTTCAACCATGGGATACATTAAAACTGGAGCACTGGTCAATCCGTTTCTCAGCTCCACGAAAAATTGTGGAGATTCTGTCGACCAATCAACGGCGGGCGGGGTTCTCAGTAAGTTCAAGCGTTTCAAGTAAGAACCTTGCAATATTCCTAAAATCCTTGACAAACCGGCAGTAGCTACTACACAAAGATATTCTAAAGGAAAATATGGAAAAGTGCCGCATCGATACCAGCAACTGGAAGTCGACGGTAAATAATAGGCCGTCATGGCGTCGAGTAGTCCACGACGGACCACAAACTTTTGAAAAACAGCGACGCAGACACGAGACTGAGAAGAGGGACCGCAGGAAGGAGCGCGAGAACAGAGAGAGAGGCAAATGCTACCAGAGACAGGGTGTACCAAGACCGTGCAAGAGTGTGCGGCTCTAGAATTGGTTTATACATATAGCCATCAGAACACGCACAATCGACGGCAATGAGATTATGAGAATAGAAGAGAAGATAATCATACTCGGTATCGAGTGATTGCCTATGATGATGATGAGTTACTACAGATGCCTAGGAAGCTTCTTGCTTCATGTTTGTTCTCTGGTCTGGACCGATCTCGGACTGCCTTACTTTTTCTGAATCTGTTTCTATTTCCCTTGAAAAAAACACGTGTTCACTTTTTCTTGGAAGACGATACACTTCTTTGGATTCAACTGTAGGTTGGCACTTCGAATCCTGGCAGAAGCTGCAAATCTGACCGGTGTTTATCGAAATATTTGCCAATTATTATGACATCATGCAAGCAGGTATACCAAGCATGTCTTCCGAGGGAGTCCTGGCAGAACTAATTTCATCAGTCCTTCTAAAGTGGCGGGTGGCTTGCGTTGTAGGTATAGTCTTTATTTTCAACTGTAAAGACGGTCTTCTCTCTATCCTCCCTGTTCAGTTCCAATATTGATACTGGCATATCAATATTATGACTGCGTTTCTGTGTTTGGAAATTATTATTATTTTCTCACAACTAGGCAACCTACAATGCACACGGTGTTCTGTTGCTCCATGTGAAATAATTCCAACGCTTGTTAGAGAAAAAAACTGATAATTTCGAAAGTACAAAATAATCAGATCCTACAGAATCGATCAAATTATGCCAAAATAAAGCCAATTTTGATGTAATGCTTATACGTATCTAATCCCACAAATTCAACCGCACAGCATTAACATACTTATCGACGCCTCAAAATGGACGACGTTAAGGCCGCCTAAATATACGAGATAATATAACGTCGTAAGCTGTAAAAATAAATCGGAATGGGGATACACACATACTGGAAAAAGCTGTATTTCCCGTTCCCCATCAATTTCGGCAACATAGTAAATCAATAACAATAACGACAAAGATCCAAACCAATTGTATTTCTATTTTTAGAAACAACGTCTAATATCATTTCAGTAATTATAGAAAGCCGCCTTTTCTTTAGCTTATTTAATATATTAGGCAAATATATATTATATACCTACGTTTCTGTTTCAAATAAAAGAACACGACTCTACGCCATAAATAAACAGGAAGTTTAATATCGATTTTGCTATTAAAGGTCTGTTCTGGTCATAGCTTAAGGCGCAGAAAATTTGTTTCTTCGTCCTAATTTCACATTGATTTTTATCGTAGGCGTGAGGCAAATTCTTATCCAGCAATTCCTGGACATAGCAAATATACTATACGTTAGGCATTGATAAGGAACATTATTATTTCTCAATAAAATAAACAATTTTTATTTAACATTTTATAATTATGTGATAAATAAGGAATCATGTGAATAGGATAAAATATTACGTTTAGTCACTTCCCATACTGCGTTATAGGTTTTTTGTGTAGAACAAATTGCTTTGGAAATACGAAATTATATGTCCAAAGCAATTTTTTTTTCTCACAAATATCTTGGACAGGCTGATTTTGGATCTAAGCACTAAGATCACTCAATAATTAGGAGAAGGCGATGATGCAGGAGAGAACAGTTCTACCGAGAAATATTCCACAAGATAAAGAGATATAAAAAAAAATTCATATATTATATCATAAGAACTTTAAATTTAATCGATTAAACTATCCCACATAACAAAATTGCATCCTTAGAATGTATTAAGAATGTTCTTTTTTTAGGAGGAATGTGCCTAGAATGTTCGCCAAAACCACTGCGAATTTCCTGAGAATGTTCTGAGAAAAGATTGTAGAAATACTGTTTGCAATACCCAAGAACTTCCTGGGAAATCCATTAGGATATTCCTAGAATAAACCTATGAGATTCTCAGTACATCCTGAAAAGAATATTCCTGTTTGATTCTAAAAATATGCTCGAAATGTATATTCTCACATTTAAAGAATGTTTCTATGACATTATAGTTATGTTCTCAAAAGAATAATATACCAATATGCTTGAAATATTCTTAGAATATATCTACATATATCACTCTCAATATGCATCCTAGACATAACATCCTTGGTTGATTCTAAAGATATACTTGGAATGTTAATTTTCTCTTTCAAATAATGCTCCTTTCAGCCCTTTTATATTAAAGGCAGTGAAAGAGTTGTTAGAAAACTTCTCTGGAAAACACAAGTGTTTAACCAAAGCTCCGGTTTCGAGCTTGTTATGCTCTCGTCGAAGCACGCCAACTGAGAGAAACAGGTTCCAAGGTGATTCAAACGCGAGGCAAGATGTAGATTTTTAATAGCGCGTGGCTCCCTCTCTTGGAAGTCCAACAAAGCAAAAGAAAAAGAATATACCTATAATATTCTTAGTGGGTTCTAGATAGAGCATTATTGTTTATTTGTTAAATTAAGATTTTTGAGTCGGTACTTTAGATAATTAGGTGAACAATATGA